GAGAGAGAGAGAGAGAGAGAGAGAGAGAGAGAGAGAGAGAGAGCACAATTGGAAGCAGTGGCATGAGGTAATGAACTCCCAAAGCCTATCTCCAGTGATATGCTTCCTTCAGCAAGGTCATACCTCCTCAGCTCCCCAAAACTGTGCCACCAAATGTTTAAGTTTCAGAGCCTATGAGCCTGAAATTCTCATTCATGTCACTACCTAGGCCTGTATAAGAATTCCACCAAAGCCCAACTTGGTAAATGAAGGTGTTTATTGTATTTCCAGAAGCATGGGAGAATGGATACTTGAAAAAACACGAGTGACCCTAAAACAACCGCATTGACACAAATTCCCACTTCTTCATGAATGAGAGCTATGTGGATGCTGAATCATGGAGTTTCATAGTTAAAAGTCTACTTCCTGTGTTCACAGTATGTCCTGAGATTATTGTGACTGGTAGAGAAAGAATACAGTATGGTTGGAATCCCTGGCAGGGGTCTGGTGAACATGGTCATGGGTCCCTTCTACCAGGAATTGTCAATAGCTTATTATTATTAGCACAGACCACAGCTTATTTGTTGCCATGAGTGTGAGACCCAGGCCATTTCTACAGTAAGATGGTTGATTGGGTGATCATATTATCTACATACTACAACAAAATGATTAACATAACCCAGAAGGAATAAGAGATGAGGGTTAGGTCTTTAGTTTGTTTCTTACCCCACTTCCATCTTCTCCAAGATGCAGGCATTCCACATGGTCTGCCACATGTGCCCAGTTGTTGTCATGTGAAGCTATGCCAGTTCTCTTTGATGCGTGTTGTTTTTGCTGTTCTTCGTGGTTTCCTGTTTTCTTACTCTTGTGACATTGGGCATCTTCATTTTCTTTTTAACCTACCTCTTCCCACTCAAATAAAGCATTAGGTTTCAAGCTTTGTTTTTTTTTTTTNCACCCCTGTTATCTACCAGACTTTGGTTTGGACCAGCAATGATTTATTATTTTGAAATAATTATCATGGATTTTTTTTTTTGTTTTTCGAGACAGGGTTTCTCTGTGGTTTTGGAGCCTGTCCTGGAACTAGCTCTGTAGACCAGGCTGGTCTTGAACTCACAGAGATCCGCCTGCCTCTGCCTCCCGAGTGCTGGGATATTTTTTTTTTTAATGTAGAATTTAACAAAACTTTCTTCTCTGTCCATTTTCCCCTAGATTTCTAATATAGTAACTTTTTATATTTAGGATGAACCAGTAATAATCTATGATTTTATGTAAGGTTTTACTACTTAGAATTATTTGGTATGGATTTCCCTAAAATTCAATATATTCATAAAACTGTAGATTGGACAGTGCTCAATGATGCTAGCAGTATTCTCAGTCTTAAAAACATTGTGTTCCACACTGAAGGATCCCAAGATGAATCTTTAAGTATGTTCTAGCACATTGATTTAATCCATTCCCTTGTTAAGTGACACATACATATTTCTAATTTTTGCCCTTATGAGCAATACTACAAAAAAGCTTTTTATAAATGGTGCTCTGTGCCCCTGTTTCATTGTTGATCTGGGACCAATAAAATATTGTTCTGAGACCGAGAAAAATCACAAGGAAGATCACTGGAGATGAATAATATGTATGTCTGTTTCATATCTTTCATCATCTCTACAAATTTTTATTATCATCACTTCACTTATACTCACAGGGGTCACCAAAAACCACAAAAAACCCAGATATTTACATTACTATTCATAACAGTAGCATTAGTGCAGCCATGAAGCAGCAATGAAAATAAACTTATGGTTGGGGGTCACCACAACATTAGGAACTGTGTTAAAGAGTTACAGCATTAGGAGGATTGAGAATTATTGTTATAGATTATGTAGAGTGAGAAGACTTATCTGAAACTTTCATCCTTATATGGATGTGTTATAAACAGTTCTCTAGCATTTCTAGGGTACATAGTGAAATTGAGGGGAAATCCTAATAGCTCATGTTAAAGATCTTAATCAAAAATAGAGAAGCCTTAAACATTAATTAGAGAGCGAAGAAAACAAGGTAATCAAAAGATATTTTGTTTGTAGGTATGATAACAATAGCTATAAATTATGTGATACCAGTGTAAGAGTGAATGACAGAAGATGCCTACAATGACTGATAGAGTCTAGCTTGAACTACTGATTCAATAACAGTGAAAGAGAAGAGTGCTTACCCAGGAGGGAATAAAATTTCCAGTTTTCCATTTTTGACAAGTTAGACAATGAGTCTAGAGGATGTATATTTGGAAATATTCAGGAGGTAGTATAACTATCATCCCTAGTTTAGAACAAGAGATGTAGACTTGAGAGTTATAGAAGTATGGGGCAGCACCAGCGAGAATAGTCATGCTTCACATGAAGGAATCATTGTCAATGAAAAAGTGAGACTATAGGTAGAAACAGAAATGAGAAAACAGCGTGAACCAGTGAAGAAGTGTTTGCCGACTTTCCTAGAATGTAACACAGCAAGT